GGAATACTAATATTGAGTGGTTATCATAAACTACCTAGAGAGCGTATGTATTGGTCATTAGATGAGGATATCGGAGTCCATGCAGTATCGAACGCTATGTCCAGTAACAGGTTTAGGGAAATAAAAAGGAATTTACATCTTGTAGACAATAACGACGCTCCAAATACTACCGATAAAATGTTCAAAGTACGAAAGCTTGGGGATATGCTCATGAAGAAATTCAACCAATGGAATATTTTTCACGAAAATATTTCCATTGATGAATCCATGGTAAAGTATTACGACCATCATTCGGCAAAACAATTTTTCAGAGGTTTTGGGTACAAAAATTGGGTCGCAGCTAGTTCTTCGGGATATTGCTTCAACTTCGATATTTATTGTAGTAAAGCTGCTACTTCTAGTACGGAGCCTCTAGGAACTAGAGTTGTTAAGATGTTGTTAAATAAAATAACCGATCCTGCAAACCATAAAGTTTTCTTAGATAACTTTTTCAATAGCTTTGATCTGCTAAGCGATTTGAGGCAATTAGGTTATCGAGCTACAGGAACCATTCGTGAAAACCGCACTAATGCCCATTGGTAAATGCAAAGGAGATGAAAAAAAATCAGGAGGAGAGTTTGATTACAGATTCGATAAAAGGAATGAAGTGTTACTGGTTCGGTGGAAGGACAACAGCATTTGCACAATGGCAACGAACTATGATTCTTACGAGCCAGTAGGAACTGTAAAAAGATGGTCTGCTGAAAAAAACAAAGGGTTGATTTCAAAATCCCAAAATTCCAAAATTATAATAAGGCCATGGGTGGAGTTGATGAAATGGATCAGTCAATTTCCCTGTATAGGATCAGCATTCACAGTAAAAAATGGTGGTGGGTATTATTCACCTACATGATTGATGTGGCCATATCAAATGCCTGGCGATTGCATGTACATTCCAGAGCAGATACGAAGGACCAACTACTCTTCCGACTAAACATAGCCAAATTTTATCTAAAGCAATCGCTGCAAAGACACTCTGCTCGTCCGTCAACGTCTAACATAGAGGGATTGCAACTCGATGGCACCGATCACGTGCCTGAAAAACTTCCGAACCGAGTACGATGTTTCATTTGTCATAATAGAAGACGCTGGCTCTGTAAAAAAATGCAAGAAACCCCTGTGCATTGAAAAACCGTGTTTTAAAAATTATCACTCTTAAGCGGCCACTGTGCCAATTTGGGTACACACCTTTAAAATGCTGAGAAAAAAATTCCCAATTTTTTCTTCTTCACACATTTAAATGTATCACATTGAATTAATAAATAAACAAAATTTTCACAAAAATTCTTGTAGTTTTGTTTTGACCATTAATGGGTTAAACTACGCAGCACCAGTGTGGTCGCCGGTGACTAGTAGGACGCAGTGGATGAAGCTACAGACGACACAAAACACCGCACTCCGGACAGCGACTGGATGCCTTCTGATGTCACCTGAACACCACCTACACGACGAGGCGAAATTGCTCTCGATCAAGAGCATAATACAATGCAAGCAGTTCCTTGTTGGGAGCCATAGACGTGGTTAGCCAAATGGACAGCTGCTTGCAGAAGAGCCCTAGCCCAGGCACGTCAGGAGGCATCTCTATGAACCGACGGACGAAGTCCAGAGGTTCATTAAACAACCTCTGGACCCGTTAGCTCATCGACAGGCCCTGAACGACATTCACAGGGAGTCAGTCTCGAATTATGTAGACTCCAGACCTGTGAATGCCGTTCTAGGCGCACAACCACCGGAGATTGGCGAGACGGAGCTTCATCTGCCTCGGGAGACAAGAACCACAATAGCCCAACTTCGCTCTGGCTGCTGAAGCAGGTTAAGATGTTCTACTCTTAATGTGCCGTTGCCCTAGATCATTTATTAGTTTAATTGTTTGGCCAGTTGTCCCACCGAATTGTCCATGTGAGGAAACTTCTCT